AGTACTGACGGCTGTAAAGGTTAACGACATGTGCAAACCAGAACAAAAAACTGCCGGAAACGCGGACAATCATCTAGAAAATGATGAGAACGTCCGATAGAATCCTTTGACGAATAAGCAGCTTAATGGACAGTATCTTCGCCAACTCAGTGATAATATAAACATCCACAAGACTTTCATCTGACGACCAAAAAGTGAATTCCACGTCGAAACGGGTGCTTCTAAAAGCCGCCCAAGACCAAGCACTGTACACGAACCCATGCAGGGCGAAGATCCTACGCATGTAGGACAGAAGCAAAGAGAAGAATGTGTCGAACGAACACTGAGACACCGTGATCCATATGATTCCAGGTTGCGAAATGTTCACGAACTGAGAATACAGGGGAAGACATAACAACATTGAAAGGGTAGTTCACCGGCTTTAACGCAAGCAAGCTGAGTTACCAGTGGCAAAGCGGTGGGGGAAACTTCAGCCGAAGGCGGTCGAAAAGAATGAGCAAGTGAAAGTACTCTGGAACTGAGCAGAAATATCGGCTCATCGTACGGATATCGTGTTGGTAGACGAGGCGGACGCAAATCACCGAAACAGCTTATCCGGCTGACGGACACATTATTTTTAAGGGGAAAGAAAAGGTACAGAAATGTCAAGAACGAGGATGGAAAAACAAAAGATCTGTAAAGTAAAAGCGGAAGTCATTTATCGGATCGGTGCCATTGGAACAGTGAAGAGACCCTCAGCGACTACTTAAGTCAATTTATGAAGCGATCAAGATGGATGAACTGCAGAAAGCGACCGTGATAGAAACAAACAGGGTTTTAAGCAGAGAACAGCAGTTCCCTATTCTTCGGCAGAAAGTTCCAGCTGAGATGATGCTCATGCCGCCACTAAAGTAATACTTCACGAAGTATGACTGGAATAACAGTACTGAAGAGAAGAACGAACGCAATGAAATTGGAATTCGAACCATACTTGAAACATGACCGAAAGCAGGCCTCAAATGATAGTTCCCAAAACAGTATTTATTTATATAGGAAGATATTTAAAATAAAACAGTCACAGCAATGATAATTTAATTTGAAGATCGTAATGACTCTCGTGTGTGATCATAGGTATGAGAGCATAAGAGGAATGCACATAAGCGATTAAAGTAAAAAAAAATGCAGCCTGATCGCACTGCGTGGTTTCTTGTCCAAAGTCGTCTGTAGGCTCTATGATTCGTCAAACTGATTGGTGATAGAAGCATCGATAAGCATGTTAAAGCCTTGCTTTTGTTTCTAGCCATAGGATAAGTTTTTGTTGAACAGTTATGCTTTATGCTTTGATCTTAGACGTATCGGTCGAACCAATCTTACGGTCCATCGGTCAACAGTCAGTTTGCAGGACATTCCCAGATCATCGGCACCTGCGTTTTAGCATACTGTCCCCCTCGATTCAAATTACAACCCGTGACAGCCAGTCACTGCCTTCAAGCATTATCCTTGTGACTTCTCTGCTGAAGGAAAAAGAAACGTAGGCAGCAGTGAGCACTAGAACAGTTTGCCGGATAGAAACTTTCACATACAGCTAGCGGTTTAGCTGATTCAAGGTCACTGTACTGAAGAAAACGAGAACGAATGGCTGGGTAGTGTTTAGTTGTTCATTAGAGTGGAAGAGCCGTAGACGAAACGGCAAAAAGTTATGCCTCCTCGTTCTACGCCCGAAGGTCTAAAATGCCAACCATCAATTCTAACAATTTCGTATCAGGAAATACGCTGTCCAGATATTTAGACAAATGGCTTGAAACGATTATTTTTACCCTGCTATATAATAATATGCATAACTCGCCCGCCATTAGCAGAGAAAATCGAGCCCACTGTTCATATTTAATTTCAGGCCGCGTACGGTGGAAATTACATCACGTTGTGCACTTTTGTCTGAAACTGTATCTAACGCATTATATCAATAACTAATTCACAAATTAGGACATGAAGAACTAATCTGTATTTTACCTTTAATAATATTATTTGACCGATTCTGCCAACATTCATACAGAGTAGGATTTCTCTGACCCATTACGTACTCTTTTCCGTCCAAAAAACCAACAGCTGAGTAAACGTACAAGTACTGACTTCATCGCTAACCATGACCCATTCTGCTATTACCAAATGGAGAGTATGTCTTTTCGAAAGCATCAAAGTAATACTCTCTGTACGGAAGAGAGAAACCTACGCAATATACTGACAGCTATAGATCGGTCATGGTTAAAGATGAAGCCTATATTTATATAAACATATCTGAGTAGCGCTCCGAGGCTTAATACGTTGTGGCACTATTTTGGAAACCTATATGTTATGAAGAAACGATGAATGTTCTAACATAATATGAAAAGTATTCTGAGTTTGGACTAAGACCGTAACCGTAAGCAGCCATACGTATCAGGACATGGTGACAATTTCTACTTTTGCCCTGTTGTTGTGAAATCTGAGACTGACAGTCAGCAGGTGTCACATGATTAGTTCTACTTGGCAATGCGAACAAACCGGCAGATTTCCACCTATCTCATGAGACATCGAAGCCAGCTATTTGACTTTATATACAGAGACAAAACGGGTCTGTCGCGCAGGCAGGTGTTCTGTTCGTTTACGTGAAATGTTTTTTAAATGGAAACTTTCTCGTAGACAAGTACCTTGGAAATGAATGTAAAGAGAATCGCGACATGAGAAATCTTTCTTCATGGAAGCCCACTGAGGCTCAGGGCAAATCCTGCAAGTGAAGACAGCTGTAGTAGCACTAACGTCTGTCTAAAAGG